GAGCATTATGATAAAATAGTATGGCAAAAAAAGGGTAAAAATAAGGCCACGATTAGGATAAGTGGTCAGAGGAAGGAGATGAAGAGGAGAAGGAAAAGGAAAGTTGAGGCGAGAGCTCAGGACCAAGGGAGGGCTGATCCCCCCTTCACTGGGCCTCACTCCCCGTCTCCTAAGCCCTCCCCCCTACCCCCCACAGCAACAACGAGCAAGGGATTAGGGGGGGGGGGCTGATCGTATTAGTAGGTAACCCGCACCCCTAGTTGCCCTAATGCAATACATGTCCTTGCAGTCATGTTGTAATAATGTCTCCAAAACCGCTTTTATAGGACATCACGTAAGACCCACTCTATGCAACAACGCTAAGAAAATTCATAACATTGCAAAGTAATAATTCACAAGATCACCTGGAACTGAGTTTCGTTCACCATAAACACCGCATTCAAAGGACACGGAATCTAAGAATATTCTTTCTTCATATCTTTGCTCTTTCACACTCATGGCGCAACTATATTCACTGTCAATGTCCTATTATTCCTCACTTCTCTTCCTCATCCGTCTTGGCTCATCGGATTCTCTCACCGATTGCATCCTTCAGACCTAATGCATCTTCTCTCTCACTTGCGGCCATGACGTTGCGCTTCTCAATAAGATGACACACGCGTAAACAAGAAGAGGGATGCACACCGACGAACGCGGTCTCTCTCTTTCTCCTATCCTCGCTTTCTTTCCTATCATATGTATATATATATATATATATATATATATATATATATATATATATATATATATATATATATATATATATATATATATTAAAAAGAGGGAGAGGGAGAGAGAGAGAGAGAGAGAGAGAGAGAGAGAGAGAGAGAGAGAGAGAGAGAGAGAGAGAGAGAGAGAGAGGGAGAGAGAGAGAGAGAGAGAGAGAGAGAGAGAGAGAGAGAGAGAGAGAGAGAGAGAGAGAGAGAGAGAGAGAAAAGGAGAGAGTTTAAATACCTTCTTAATCAATGCTCGTACCCAGCAAACACACAGACAGGCAGATACTCGCGCACGCACGCACGCACGCACCCAAGCCTCCTACTTGTAGCGCTGTCGCGTCGCGTCGACGATAGCCGTCCGAGTTCGGCGCGGTCGGCCTCGGTACTCCCTTATATAGCCGCGCGCCGCCACCATGTCCTCGGCCTCTGAAGCAGGGTCAGGAGGCCGGGGAAGCAGGTTGAGATAGATGGCCTGTTCAGGAGGAGTGGAAGGAGTTAGGAGGAAGAAAGCGGACTTATCTTTGGGGCTTTTTCGTTATCTCCATCGGTTTTCATTGGGCCTGTTTTTTTTTGTTTTTTTTTTTGGCTTATGTGAATGCGCGCAACACCTTTCACATTTCAAGATGGAAAGAAAGTTTGCGTTTTTTTTTAATCCATTTATTTTCTTTCTTTTTTTTGGCTGGCTCCTTCCAGGTAAAAGCTAATAAAATAGCTTGACATCAGATAATCATGTTTGGGGTGGCAGAGAGAGCAAGTTGTTTATTTTAATATTTTTTTTCTCTCCTTTGTTCTGTCCCACAATGGCGACGAGCTTATAAAATACATATATTTATGTATATGCATAAGAAAGTTTATGTGTGTACATATACAAGCCTGCACAAGCGGATCTAAGTCCACGCAAACGTAACCCAATCTCACAAACACGCACGGACGCACACGCGAACACACAAACACAATTTCACACACACACACATCATATCATATCATAAATAATTATATAATTTATTCCCTGATCCACACGGGCATCACCGTTTTAAGGCGGAACATTATCATGAACCACAAACAGTAATGTTCCGCAATCATAAATAAAGTGATGAGATGCAATAGAGGCACCATCAGCGCGGCAGGTGAAAGTGACTGAGAATGAGGATGCGTCTTTTGCCATAAACGAATTTTAGGAAATATTTATATTTCTCTTTGTGTTTCTTATATTCGCATTGCCAGATAGAGATATTTACATATATGCGTAGGAATGAATAGATAGATGGGTAGAAAAATAGATATAAACATAGCAGTAAACATATGCCGGCACATATAGGTACGTGTAGTCAGATCTCACACACAAAAAACACGACTTTTTTAATCATTTAACAAATTATCAAAACAACATATTAGAACCTTTACCACGCAATGCACCCAACTAAACAAATGCACACAGGTAATGATGTGCGTATACGTATAAATATGTAGACGAAGATGGGATCCCCGCGTGAGGGCGCCACCACCGCTATAACTCAGGCCATTGAACCGCTGCAGCTCCCGTACCCGATCTCGCTCTCTCTCTCTCGTTCTTTTTTCCCTCTTTCCCTTTTCCTCTCCGTCTCTGTCTGTTTGTCTCCTTCTCGATTTCTGTCTGTTTGTCTCCTTCTCGATTTCTGTCTGTTTCATTCTTTTGTTCTCTATCTCTCTGTTTCTCTCTGTTTCTCTCTCTCTCTCTCTCTCTCTCTCTCTCTCTCTCTCTTATATATATATATATATATATATATATATATATATATATATATATATATATATATATATATATATATATATATATATATATATATATATATATATATATATATATATATATATATATATATATATATATATATATATATATATATATATTCACACACACACACACACACATATATATATACACCATTTATCTGCCCGTCTGTCTGCCCATCAATTCATCTAGCTGTCAGTCTCTTTCCTCAATCGTTGCACCTGCGCGCCCGGCTTATCTCCTCTATCTTTATAACAAACAATTGATATCTTAAAACTGCTTTAATAAAATCATCCCAGACTCTTTCCATTCTTATAAAGCAAGAACAGAATAGCAATTATCGAGCACAGTTAATTTTTAAAATATGACGTTTAATGGTTGATGGTTAATAGTTAAAACAAATGAATGTGCTAGACATAAAAGATCATTTACTACCATGGTAAAGTATAATAGCGAAAAGGGTTTGGAGTGAGATGACGATTAGAGTAAAGTTCAAGGCTGAACAGTTCAAGAGGGTAGTTTGGTAGTGAATAAATGACATTAATTTCATCTGCAAGTCATCGGAATATTACATTTTTCCCTCCTATCCTGACTAACATTTACCTAAGTTACGTAAAAGTAACGATTTCAGTTTTAAATAAGCAACGATTGAATTAAACAATACCCCTTGAAACCCATCCATAACCTCCCCACCCCCCCCTCCAGGCTAAGAACCTGCATTACAGGATATGAAGCAACGAAAATTGGAAAGCTAAGGACAAGAGAGTATCGCTGCTTAATAAAATATCCTGGCCTATGACTTTATTCTAACCCTATCCTATGTCTCCTCTTTCATTCTCTTGATTAATATTAATATCAAAATCTAAGCCTTGAGTGCTTGGAGTACGTGCCTGGGGAAATAGCACCCGCATAATTGTCTGATTGGGGGTCACCTCCCCGCAATTATGCACACGCTACTGTGTACATGCGATCCGCCCTTTATTACCGTTAGTGTTGAATTTGTTTGGAATCTTGGAGTTGTTTGTGCTCTGGGGTAACTCAATCGGCCCGGATGGCAAGAATACATGCCATGCCGATTGTAATATAAGTTTGTTTATTGTTGTTTTTTTTTTTTTTTACATACAAGTGGCTCTTCAAGCGCTTAATCACCAAGGAGTCAGTTATTAGTCCTGACTAGCTCACCTGTTTACCTTTTTCCTTGACTTTTGGAAAAGGTCTTTTGTATATTTTATTGTTTTGAGTGTTACCAAGATTTTAATAACATTTAAATAATCATAACATCAATAACAAAAAAAAGTATCGATATGAATTGTATTTAAAAGAAAAACACATTTTCCCTTATGCTTATTTTCCGGTCATAAGGGCCAAATGATACTCCTTGCAGGCTCAGCACATGTAGAGCCACCTGTATGTAGCACAATTCACAAGAAACTACAGGGGACAGAACATAAATATGTGGTGGTTGGGTTACTACGACTGTTAAAAAAAGGAAAATATATATATTTACTGTGTCTGTGTTATATCCATACTTAAGCAAGTCGGTAAACTTAAATTCACTCTCTCAACTACAAAAGAAAAATTAAAAATAAAAAGTTCGTGGCAAAATTATGCAACGTATTTTTTTTTTTTAATTGCCAGCAACTCTAAGTTAAACAGACTTTTTTTTTCAAATATCAATTCAAGTTCAAATTCACTTTCACAACTGACACTAACTGACAGTCCCACAGACAACAATTTCAACGAGCGGAAGAAAATGTCAGTCTGTCTATTCTACTTTTGCGAACATTCTTAATGCATGTACTTTTATTTACTCGTGCTTTCATGTTTACTCTTACAGGCATTTACATTCACATGATGATTAACTGGCAAATTAGAATTCAGTAATTCTACCATAACTTGTCACTAGTGATGTGATCGTCTCCTTGTCACAATTATTCAAATGAAAATTAATCATCGTGAGGGAGGGAGAGGGAGAGGGAGAAAGAGAGAGGGAGAGGGAGAGAGAGAGGGAGAGAGAAAGAGAGGGAGAGGGAGAGGGAGAGAGAAAGAGAGAGGGAGAGGGAGAGGGAGAGGAAGAGAGAAAGAGAGAGAGAGAGAGAGAAAGAGAGAGGGAGAGAGAGAGAAAGAGAGAGAGAGAGAGAGAGAGAGAGAGAGAGAGAGAGAGAGAGAGAGAGAGAGAGAGAGAGAGAGAGAGAGAGAGTGAGTGAGTGAGTATAGCAGAGGTATAGTAGCGGAAAAAAATATAGAGGGGAGTAGGTTAATGAGTTACAGATTAAATGTGTCATACGCCAGAAGTCGTACAGCACTTTATGATAGCATAATATTGAAAAGGGTGAGTAAATGGGGTAAGGCAGGGATTGATGGTTAAAAGAAATAAATATATTAAACATCAAAGGCCATATAGCACTAAGATTAAGTACTGTGACAAAAGGGGTAAAAATGAGTTAATGATTAGAACAAAATATGTTAGATGACAAAGGTCGTTGAGCGATACACGATAGTATGGCAGGCAAAAGGGTAAAGAGGGGGGGGGGAGAATGGAGTAAGGCGGGGATTAGTAAAAAGGGGGGGGAGGGAGGGGGTTAAAGGCGATTAGATGAAATGCAGAGTATCTATGTCTGAGGAAGAGGAACATTGGAAATGGAGTGTCGGACAAGTTGAAGGAGAAAAAAGGGAATGAGACGAGGGGATAAGGAAAGGAGGTATGACGAAGAAGTCTGAAGGAATAGACTCCCGAGGACGACCCAGTTGAGGGGGGGGGGATAGAGATTTTAGTGTCTAGATTAAAATTTGACTGAAAGAGAGAGGTAGTAGAGGTAGGAACATTAGGGGTAGGTGGAAAAGATACGGAGACATTTTAGGAAGAATGGAGAGGGTGGAGCGAAGGACAGCGTTGGAGTAGGTGGCGAGAGAAGGACCTCGTCGGCGTGCTTCCTGTCTGGCCTCCCGTAGAGTGAGCCCTAGTTTGACTCTCAGAACTGTTGCCATAAGCTCGAACTCGTAGACAGGGTTACCACTTGTACCGCAAATAATGCCAATGCTGCGCTAGATCTATGATTTCGGCGTGATTCGAGTTATTAATTAATGATTACCTGTGTATCATAATGTAAGAATTTATATAAAATTATAATAAAAGTAATATGTTGTAACGGAAGTGCGGACGCAGTTATGGTCTATAAATAAGTTAAAGACGAGGTCCAGGCGCCGCTATCGCATTGGCATGGTTTGCGGTGTGGGTGGAAACTATACTTGTAGGTAGGGCACCATAAAAGACCCACGTGCGTAACTGCACAACAATTTGGACAGTCATGCCGGGATGGGCACACAGAGGGCAGCGGGCTGTGGAGCAGCAGTCCTTGGCAGGGGGGCAATTTAAATGTCATGGGTCTTCGGAGGGAAATCGTGGCAATATTGGAGTAGGATTCCTCTGCAAGGAATGTGGCATTGCAATGTTAATGCGTCACAATCAACGAAGCAGGCAAGCAGGTTGTTTTCTTCTGACCAATCCTTGTCGTAGACAGATCAACTAGAGAGATGGAAACAGTTCTGGTACAAATATTAAGGGAAAAGAGTGAGGCCGAGTAGCAATAGGTTTGCCAGTGAGATCAGTCAGGGTAGAAAGTTCACGAGCCTAGGACTAGGACTAGGATAACAAGGCACGAACGAAACTTTGCCTTCTCGTTTTTTTAAATACATTGTTGGAAGAAGACGGTAATTCAAAGGGGCTGTAAGCGAGAGAGAGAGAAAAAAATCGATTCCACTTCAGTAGACTAAACAAAATACTCAAAATATTTGCAAAGGTGGAAATAGTAGGAGGAGGAGGAGGGCGGGATGAAGAGGGAAGGAGTGTGGAGTGAGGTAGTACGGGGCTATGAGGCAGGCGTGGACTTACTAATCAACAATGGCATTTATGGTTAGTGAATGGTGCGAGATGAAATGAGGAGTAATATGGGAGGAGGGGCAGAAAATGAAGTGTGTGTGTGTGTGTGTGTGTGTGTGTGTGTGTGTGTGTGTGTGAGAGGGAGAGGGAGAAGAAGGAGAGGGAGAGGGAGAGGGAGAGGGAGAGGGAGAGGGAGAGGGAGAAGGAGAGGGAGAGGGTGTGGGAGAGGGGGGGAGGGAGGGAGGGAGGGAGAGAGAGAGAGAGAGAGAGAGAGAGAGAGAGAGAGAGAGAGAGAGAGAGAGAGAGAGAGAGAGAGAGAGAGAGAGAGAGAGAGAGAGAGAGAGAGAGAAATGTGGGGGGGGGATGCTTATTTCACCAAAATTGTCATATTCTATATGTATCTCAAAAAATATTTATTCTATAATATGCAAATTAATGTAGCATCTGGCAAACAAAAACATTAAACTAAGTAAATACCTTACATGCCATACACAAATTAAATGTTGACTAAAATGTGTACTATAAAGTCTCATAAATCACAACCATGTTTTCTATTTCTGAAATTTATTAAAAGAATTTGTACATTCCCATGGCCTAAGATATATGTATTTAAAGTAAAACAGATATTACTTAAATAAAAATAAGGCCACTTTTCTGTAAACACTAAAATACAATATCCAAAACATAAAACAAATTTTGAACTCATTCATACAATTATCTTACAAACTATTGCACACTTTAATGAAAACTGTCATTGTTATTTACATATGACATGTCTGAAGGCATGAAAATATAAAAATCAATTGATTCATCCCATGAAATCAACTAATCAATCTGGCATTGGACCTACAGAAACTGGTGCTAGAAAATGCAATTTTCTCTCTTAAAGCTACAAACACACTAGTTCAGAATTAATTTCATGTGAAAAGCAATCAGATTGACCTAAAAAAAATTATGCATTTCCTAGAAGTAATCATATAAATAATAATAAAAAATAAAGTATCATATTCATATCCTGCTCACACCAAGATGAGCATGTCAAATACTTACCAGATCCTTATCACACGAGTAAATCAAACCTTTGCTATAACAGTCCAAAATGAATGTCTGCTAGGAATTTGTTTTCTCATGCACTTGACATATACAAGGCTGGTTTTCTATATATATAAAAGGAAGATAGAAGATAGGGGGAAAGAGATGTAAGATAGCAAGAACTCACCTTGAAACAAAAAACAGGAGATAGAGAAAAAAATATGATCTGAAAAGGAGAAACGAGAGAACTATGGACATGCAGATGATATTGACTTTGCCTATGCCTGGAAACTCCTATAATCAGATTATAAACAACTTTGCCCTCGTTAAATACCCTCCCTAACATCTTGAGTGTTTGACTTTAGCATTATGAGGCAGGCATGGACTTACTAATCAACAATGGCATTTCTGATTAGTGAATGGTATGAGATGAAAAATATGTGAAATATAGGAGGGAACTGCAGAACAATGAAAAAAAATTACTAAAGATTTCATTTGAAATATATGAAAAAATTAGTTATAGTTTTGCACAGGTGTTATACTATACAACACTCCTGAATTTTCAACAGTATAAAATAGATATCTAACAAGGTCACTTAGTGACATATCATTAAATTATTTTGGCTACTATAAATAAGAACTGGTTTTAGCAAAGAAACTATCAGATTATATATTATAAAATTTTACTATTTTCCATGATACGACTTTATAAAATAATGATACAATGATTATAAAAATATGAGATGCAATGACACAAAAGTGAATATTTACCTAAAATAACCTCTTAATATTTCTTAAAATATTTAAAACTTTATCTGAATTTTTAAACTTTCATTTACTAGCATAGATATTTCATAAATAAAAAATAAATGGCTACAGTAAAAGAATTATAATTACAATGTGTAAAAAGACTCCCAAGTCTACAAAAATGGCTAGCTTAAGAGTGCATTGGCCGTTTTTAATTTTTCCTCAGCTGATAAATCTATGCCTAAGTGTGCAACATTGCTTAAAAATCTCCTTCCTCTTCTGTTTTTACTTATTGCGGCACTAAGCTCATCATATCTAATGAGGCTTCGTATACAGGGTAAGTGATCCGTGGATGTATTTTTGTTAAGATAATTAATGGCTGGCAGGCATGAAGTTATGGTTGCTGCTATACGTCGATGTTCTTGCCTGAGGCTGAAATTAAAGAAAGAAAATGTATTACTAAAAAGCATTCACACCACAATTTTACTATTTTAATACAATGAACTATATGACATATGAGTCAGTATACATCTAAGATCAAAGAAAGTGCTATAAATACATACCTGTTAGCTTTGGACTCATGTGGTATCAGGCTTGGTACCCTCATATCATTATGGATCGTGAGACACAACTGAGGCCACTCCGTTACTGAATCTTTGGGTAGTGCAGCTGATAATTCTTCATGACAGTATTTCACAGCTCTCTGGCCTACGAACTGGACAAGATCGTTGGTCAGGTTACGAGGCGCCCAGGGAAGATCACAGTTATCTTGTTCGTCACTAAGTCCTGCTGTGGGCTGCCTGGTCCACCATCCGTGTTCCTCTATCCTCTTTCCAGGATAAGTTTCTAACTGAGATGAGTCAAGGACATCCAGCTGGGCAATAGTGTCATAAAGACGGGCCATGGACTCTAGACATTGTCTGGACGATTTTTGTACATTGGGAGGAATCTTTTGAGTATTTTCTTTTACTTCCTTCTCCTCCTCTTCCACCTCCACCTTTTCCTCCTTCTCCTCCGTCACAGGCGGCTGTTCCACCTCTTCTTCATCCTCATCAATTGAAAGCCAACTGTGTCTCTGCCACAGGGGTGTGGTCTTGAGGAGGGGATCATCAGGCTGGAGAGGATACTTGGGCTTTGTCTCCTCTGTCTCAGTGAGAGGAAGGGGGAGGAGTAAGGGGAGGTTGCTTGAAATCTGGGACCAGCTGATGTTCCTGTTGGACTTCCGCTGTTTTTCCAGAGTCGTTTTTCTTCTATCACAATGGAGGTCTGCTTTGCTGTCAAACACTGCACTTCCTTTGATTTTCCCCAACAGGCCAGATGCGTATAATTCTACATTTGAAGTCTCTAACTGATCAGCATCCGGGAATATGTCACCAAGACTTAAATCTTTCACAACTTTAGAAGATTTACTATTCTCTTCCTCCCTGTTTGTCTCAGAATCATCCTGAAAATAAGAGAGGAGTACAAAATAGTAGAGCTGCTTTGAGATAGTGAAGAAGAAGAAGAAGAAGAAGAAGAAGAAGAAGAAAAAGAAGAGAGGTATGGACAGCTAAAAAAGATTTATACATTTATACATTTTATTATGTAACATATAAAAAACAATAGCTCCTTTTTCTGAGATTATAATATATTTCAAATAAATATCCTCATTATTTCATTCTACCCATCTATCAATCTACCATTTTTTTTGTCACATCTACACACAAGGTAGAGGCTGTTTTATCCACATTAATCATAAGATAGATAATATCTCACACCTTAATGAAAAAATTAAGACAAACCTTCTGACTATTTTCCAGACAATCGCATATCTGGAATGACGAGCCAGACATCGACCAAAGCTGAAGATCGTGTAATGACTGTCGGACATCCCTTTTGTTGACATGAACAAGGGTTCGTACATCTTTTAAGCATATATGGTAGCCATTTGCAAGACAGACCAATTGCAGGTGATGCGCTGGAGAAAAATCAAATTTATTAGAGTATTTATTTAACATCATTTCATGATAAAGCTCATCAAGATAATATAAGTATAAAGAGATGTTAATTTTATTCTTCATTAGCATGAATAATAACAGTAATAAAACACAAACAAGCACATTAATTCTGTAAACATACCTATAAGATCCTCTGGAGGGGATACGAAGTCTAATTTTTCATAATTTCCCTTTATTTTGGCCAGCACATTTGGTGATGAATCACTGACAGTCAAGATAATTGGTCTCTTGCTAGTGGCCATGAAATTGTTTACTGTCGCAATAAAACCTTCATCCCATTCTTCAAAAACAATATCAATCTGCAAAGAGTGGTCGGCAAAATTAATTAAAAAACTATAAATATATATGTTACTGTAAATGCGATCTTTTACATAATCATTGCATCTATAATAAACAAATTGGATCATTTAAATGATAATTATTGCATAAGAAAATTTAAAAAGAATAACTTGATCCCCTGTGAAAGCATAGCTTTTCAAAGTTATTTCTTCATGCAACGCAGCAATATTCCTCAAAGAATCTCCATCAAAAGGAGAGTAACCCCAAATTCTATAATAATTCACATAAGTCCTTACTGATTCATTATCACTATTACTTATCTATCTTCTGGCATTCTAGTTCCATGCGCAACATCAATCAGGTAATACTTACATCTTCAAACAAAACAAGTGCCACTTTCTTTTTGCTCTCCAAATCTTTGTTGGAATTCTGGCTTTCTTCATGGAGGTTTACTGTAAACAAAAATTTTAAATAATATAGTTACTCTAGGTAACATAGGATCAAAGTCAGTAGAGAGCCTATGCCTTCAACAACTACACCGGAAACCTGAGCCTTTATTTTTTTAAAATTCATTCCAAAATTGAATCAATCAACAACAGTACATGGCACAAAAGTCAACCACATATATGAAAGACAACTGTAACATAAACTCAAAATAGGTAGAAAAACACACCTTTCTTTGGAGACGGCTTAGTATCAGCTGATGCCTTGGCCGCAAACATGGCCGTCAAAGTGTTGGCAGGTTGCTGGGATGTTTTGCTAGACACCGAGTGAGATTGCGTGGCCTCAGCTAACTGAGTCATGACCTGTCTTCCCTGTCGTCTTGAGGATGCATTCACCTCCAGCACCTGGTTTCAGATTGCACTATTAGGGTCCCAATTTTTTTCTCCTCCCTTTTTCTACTCTCATTTTTATAACCCAATGATGCCAGGATGGCAAAAATACATGCCATACCCATTGTGATTTTAGTTTATTTATTGTGTTTATGCATAGATGACTCCACAAGTGTTTTCATATCTAACTCACTTGTTTATTTTTCACTTTCAGGAAGATTCTTTATGAATGACAATATCAACATCTATATTAATAGCATTAGAAAGAAAGAAAGAAAGAAAGAAAGAGAGAGAGAAGACTCAATGAAAGGGAAAATCAGGTAAGGTCACAGAGGCCAACTAATTGGCTCTTTGATGGCTGAGCACATGTGGAGCCATTTATGTGCAAACAAAATTCGTAAAAGAAAACTACACTGGACAGTACATGTACTCAGCAACAAATAATAATATAAATAGTAATAACAACACCACCACTACTTAAGACATTGCCGTTTATCACATCCAATAACTCCACAATTAGTCTACCTTATAACCAAGCTCTGTAGCAAGGGCATATACAGCTGAGGTCTTGCCAATACCAGGAGGTCCTGACAACAAAAACGTGTTGACAAAACCATCGTCACCAAAACTGCTGGAATCATCAGATATCAGGAAGTCATCGTCTGAAAAGAGATTTCTGTCAGATATTTTTATTCAACTCTCAATTAAGGGAGGAGGGGGTAGGAGGAGGAGGATGGGGGAGAGAGGAGGAGGAAGATCGGGGAGAGAGGAAAAGGAGGATGGGGGAGAGAGGAGGAGGATGGGGGAGAGAGGAGGAGAAGGATGGGGGAGAGAGGAGGAGAAGGAGGATGGGGGAGAGAGGAGGAGAAGGATGGGGGAGAGAGGAAGAGGAGGAGGAGGAGGAGAAATAACTTACCTTTTCTAAATGTCTTTTTCTTCTTTCCATTCTTCTCCTTATTGGCATATATCTCCGACTTTCTTTTCCACTCCTGTAGCCACATCTTCATTTTTCTGACATGACCTGGAGATAGACATTTTATCAATCATCTTCAAGTTAATAGTGTATACAGTGTATCTCTGGAAACTTGTTCTTTCACAATTACTTTGTTAAAAAAAGAGAAGCATAATAGTGAACATTAAGTCATTTAGAAAGAATTTTCATAAAATGTGTGATAAAATCTAAGGCATGTTGTCATCTCTACCTTTACAATCACTATAAGGCAAATGGGTGTGACAGCTCCATTACAAACACATCTCTTTTTCAAAAATGTGTAAATATATGATATACAGTCTATTTGTATGTGTATATGATCATCTATCTCTGTATCTATCTATATGCCCCCCCCCCCCATCCCACATACATTTTCTGATTTGTTTCCTCCACACAGCAAACTTAAATAAGCCTGGTCTATACCTGTATTACCGATGACTTGATTGGTGTGTTTGGGTGAAAAAACTTGCGTCCATGCGTGTGGAATTCTCTCCTGCCACAAGGGAAGTGACGTGTCCTTATCTTCACCCTTTTCCTCGGCTTCCTTCTTTTTCCCTTTTGCTCCGCTTAGTCTCGATCTTTTGCTTCCTCCTGACCCCTTGCTTCTCCTCTTGCGCTTTCCTCTTTTGGCCTCTTCCTCTTCTTCTTCCAGGTCTATTACTTTAATCTTGGATTCTTCCTTCTCTAATTCTTTTTTATACAAATCTACAGCTTCCTTCTTCAAGTCTAGGTAGGATTTGAAGACTGAGAGTGCCGGAAAGTAGGGGTTTTCCTTCTTCAGGCTGAGGAGGATTGCGATGATGCTTGCTACGTCCAGTGTTGGATTATTACCCACTCCCAATTTTGTACTAGATTTATCTTTGTTTAATTTGGACATCATATCAGTGCTATATATTTTTGTTCCCAGTGGCACTACAGAGGAATCACTTTCATTTGTTTCCTTCAGCTTCTCAATCTGAAAAGATGTAATTTATCTTTAAGGAAAGCCATTGCTTATACTTTCGACATGACCACAATGAAAAACATCCTGGGCTTATTTACCTGTTAAGCAAAACTACATAGAGCTCTATTTTAGAAATTGCACAATAGAATAATGGGTTGATTTTTAAAATTTCCTAAAAGTAATTGCATGCATTAATAAAACACTTTTGTTCAGATAAACTTTAACTAAAGCATAACCCAAAAACATTTTATAAAACAGTATATTACACACACACATACACACATACTGCAAATGCACATATCAATACATATAAGAACACCTCTCCATTACCGCAAGGTCCTATCCCTAGAAATTGCAGTCTATACTCACATTTGGAGAGGCAAGACTCCATACACTATCAGTATCACTCTTCTGTTGGACATGACTGACAGCTGGGAAAGGTGGCCACTCACTGACTTCTTCCTCCTGACTGCAATACAGAAAAGAAAATCTTAATGTCTATGGCTATACTTGCAAAAATTTATATTCATTTACTACAAACCAGTAATATAAACATGAACACAACAAGCAATATCTGTAAGGACAAGGACAGAGACAAATACAATTATAACCACTTTACCTCTTCTCAATCAACACTTGCTTCTTGATCTGATCAGGGACACCAGACTGTAGGAAGTCTTGTCGTGCCTTCAATTTTGAAGGTGAGAGTTCTATAATCTTCTTCTTACAAAATATTGGAGCAAGCTTGGATTCTGTAAACAATAAGAATGACATTATAAGAAAAAGTACCTATCATCTTCTTCTTTTATGTAATATTTGTATACTGCAAAATGTTCCATAAAAAATAATAAATAATAATTAATAATAAAAAAGAATTACCTTTCACTGGTTTCTCTTTCTCAGCCTTCTTAGTCTTCTCAACTCTTACTTCTTCTTCAATTTCCTGCTGTTCTTCTATCATCTTTTTTGCATTTGCTGCTGCTTGCCGTGAGGATCTCCTTGAAGACTCGCCAACAGTGTCTTCCAGAACATCGACTTCCTCTGGTGCATTTTGATTTCCTTTTTTACTCCTGATGACTTTCCTTTTTACCAGTTTTGTTTTGGGAGTTGATGCAGTTGGAGGCTTGAGAAGCATCTGCCTTTTCTTCTTTGTTGGCTTGACTGGTGAAGCTTCCTCTTCATCAATGAGGACCACATCATTATCAATTTGTACCATATTAACTTGTACTACATTCTGTTCAACTATCTTCTTCACAACATTATTGCTCAGAGTTTTCTTTTTTGTTCTACTCATGCTCAATCTCTTGACTTTTCCCTTGGGACTCCTTTTGGCTAGTTTAGCCTTTTGCACAAGTTCTCGAGCTTTGGCCTGCGCGGGGCAACTCTCGGCTACGTTATTGTGCTTTAGACTTAAAGATTTTCTTCCTCTGGTTTTGGTCTTCAAAGTTGGTTGAACTTTCTTCAATCTCAGGCTGGAATGTATACACAAACAACTCATTAGGAAATAAAAGATGAAAAAGAATCAGTACATAACATCAATGGAAAATCAGCGATCAAAGTGTCAACTATCATGATGTCTCAACCAAAAAGGAGTGCTGAACACTCAACTCTAAGGGAAAACATTCTGGGCTTCTGTATATCATCATTTTTTCATATGCAAGAGACATAGTTTTAGACTTGAGAAGAAACACTATTATATAATAATAACAATAATAATAATAATATAAAAATGTCACATTTTAAATATAAGTGAACACTAGCTACCTAAAAATTATAATGATATTTAAGGTGTGGTTTGATTCACTTACACACCAAAACAAATAATCATTAAATATAATACTGACCTCAGTTTCCCAGGTTTCTGAATAAGCGTAGACGTGTAGTGAACAACATTCTCCTTATCATCCTCACTCTCCATGGATTCCGATAACAGGCTATCTCTCGTTCTCGGTGATCTCTTCCTGGACCCCATGCTTGTATCAGTGTCAGTATTACTATCTTGTGCGGATTTGTTTAGATTCCTGGCTCTGGTAGCTCTGGTGCTTTTGGGAAAGATCTCGTCCTCTGTGGCATCGAGCTTTGAGGGCGGAGTTTCTATACTTTCTACTATGGATTTGGGCGAGGTATTCTCTTTTGGGAGGACGGTTTGGTCCACTGTATCTGGAGGTTCAATGACAGCCTTCCTTGACAGTCTTCTTCTGGATTTCTTTGCAGGTCCCTTCTTTTCTGTGTTTTCTTCATTTACAGGAAGGTCTTCCAAGGGAATCTTAGCCTCATCTCCATTCTTACTCTCTTCTATTTTGGTGCAATCATTTTCTTCTTCTTGCAATATTCTCTTACTTGCCTTATTTCTTATCTTCTTTGCAACATTATTCTTTGTTTCAAAGGCTTTACTCTCCACTGCTGCTGCCTCTATCATAGTGCCCGTCCCCCTTTCCTTTTTTGGTAAATCGTTACTCGTTATATTAATCTCTCTTAAATTCTGTGCTGGTAACTTTATGGGTGAGTTAGTAGGTGTAATCTGCTCAAGTAATTCTATCTTATTTAGCTCCTCAAGTTCTTGTCTCTTCTTTATCCTTCTACTGATTCTTCTATCATTCTTTTTGTCTTTGGGGATGTCACTGACATTCTCTTTATCAGCAGTTTCGTTACCTTGTACTTTCTTTCTCTTTGCTGCATGTTCCATTTTGCTGGATTCTAGCATTCCATCACACGGAGCGTGAACATCAGCCTTGACTGTGAAAATGTTCTTGCTTCTCTCAACTGCTTTCTCTTCTTTGGAGATCTTTTTAAAGAAGGTTGAAATGTTTCCTTTCTTTGAACTATTTTCTGCATCAGTTATAGTGTGCTCTTTGTCTCCTGTTTCCTCAGGATTAGTTTTGTGGCTTGTTTTATGATCAATGATTTCTTCTTGATCAGAGTCTACTGCATAGTCTACTTTTTTCCTTCTCCTCTTCCTTGGTGGTTCCTCAGCTTCTGTCGGTTCAATCTTCACTCTTTCATCATTCTCCATACTGGAGACTTCTACAGTAGATACATTTTTCTTGCTTTTAGCCCTTTTCTCCTTCTCTACTATTTCTGAAGTGATCTGGCTTTCTTCTGTATTTTTTTCAACAGGGATCTCTGCCACCTTGTTTGTTACTTGTTCTGCTTTGTCTTTTAATACTATATTCTGACTGCTAATTTTCTGTTTTCCTCTTACTTTCTTAGTCTTGGGAACTTTCACTTTAACATTCTTTTGCCTAACATTGTTGTCTCCACCTTCTGCAGTCTCAGTAGGAGGCTTTGTTTCAGGTGCATCTCTTTCATCCTTAATCCTTGTTGGACATTTCTCTTCATGATCTGACATTGCAATGTTACTAGGGTTCCTTTGTGAACCTTCCGTTTTTGTAGTTTCGGATATGTTTTTGGAGACAGTCTCTTTAATTTTTTTTGTGACTTTCTCTTCTGCTTTGGTTTCAGTTGTCTGAATTGGAATCTTGGGTAGTCCATGTCCTTCTTCTGTTTTGATTTCAGATGCCTGAACTGGAGGATCTGATTGCCCAGAAACTGCAGTATTTGTTTTCCTCTTCCTTACGGTTTTCTTCGGCTTGCTGATCTTTGGTTCCTCTTTCTCTGAAACCTCAAAGTCAGCTAGGGATGAATCTAGATCTTCTTGCTTTTTCTTTCTACTCCTTCCTTTGTTCTTCTTCTTCTCTGTATTGTCTGTGGGAGCGTCCGAGTTTTCATTATTGTCACCCTCACTGGTCTCTCCTTTTCCTGATTCATTCTCTGAAAGAGCTTTGTCCTGCTTATGTCTATTTGCCATCATAAAAGCAAAAGCATTTCCACCAGAGTATGATGTGGGGGCTGTATTAAGTTTGGCTTTGGATGGTATGGCTGGAGTGTGGGAATTACTTTTACTAGTGGCATCCTTTTTCTCGAAAACTACTTCAAGCTCTTCACAGCTTTCTGACGACGATTCGGTCTCTGTCAATTGCACATTTTTTCCGACAGATTTCTTGTTCCTACGTACTGTCCTTTTCTCTTTGCCTATTTTCTTCTTTACTTTATTTTCATCCACCTGTGCAGTATTGTTTGATTCATTTACCTTTTTACTTTTCTTGCCATCACATTCTTCTTCCTCACTATTACTAGTAACACCTTTCTTATTCAGCAAGGTTTCTGAGCAGTCATTTTTAGCCGATTCCTCCTCTTCTCTCATTTCCTTCAACACTTCATTTTGTTTACCTCTGTTAGCCATCATGAATGCAAAGATGTTCTGTCTCCCGGAACTCCCTTCTGTAGGTTTTTCACTGCTCTTACATACTTTCTCCTTTACTACCTCTAACACCTCCGGTTCTTCTTCAGACACAGATGCACTCGACTCCTCTTCAACTAAATCTTCAGTGGATGACCCATCTGTCTGGGACGATGCTTGCTCATCCTTGTTCTGTCTCACTTGCTTCACTCTCTACATCAACTGTTATGTCAACTTCACTCCCATTTCCTGATATTTCAACCTCCTCCTTTTCCTGCTCAACAACACCTGAATCCAAACCTTCCTCTTCTTTGGTCTCCTTTTTATTACTTGTTCCGTTTAATTGGTCTAGACTGCTGTTTACTTTCTTGAAATATGAAAACAGATCTTTCTTGTCCTTGACTACAGGAGATGCTTTTGGGCTCTTAAAAAAGGAGTCTATACCCCTTTGCCCCTTTTCCCGTGGGGGGATATTCTGGAAGGACAAAGTAATCATTTAAAATTTGTTTCAAGAATATCCATTCAACAATTGAGTCATAATCTCATAAACCTCAGAAAATAACTATCATATCTAAATATGCACTGCCTAATAATAAAGCTACAAAATGAAAGTGATTTATGGTGACCACTCCCAAGAAAGAAAGAAAGAAAGAAAGAATACTTTCAAATATGAGTTTGGTATATGAGTCAAATAAAAATCTGAAAATTACAATAAAAAGAAGAACAAGAAAAGAAGACAACTATCATACACATCTAATATTTCTCTTTACTGTTTTCCATGTGTATTACCATATGATTTTATATTGATGATTTCTGTTCAGTGTAGTAGCTGTTTTGAGATTGAAAGTTGGAAATAAGAGTCATTTTTGCTTGGGAAACCACTTAACCTGTAAAGGATCCAGGGTGTTATATCTAAGCTGGTGATGATGAGGAACATAGGTGTTTATAGCATAGATTTTCATCTTTCTAGCTAGCAGTGCTGTATTCTGTACCAACTTTATATTGACAAGCAACATCTGTCAGGCCTAAACCTTAAGCATAGGCTGAGACTGAGGATATGGGGTATACTTGGTCTATATACAGTATATTGATTACATAAATCTATGTGTATGTGTAGAGAAAGAGATTACCATTGGCCTTTCATGTCCAATATTTTGATAAAAGAAATCAGGCTCTGCAATTGGCATCCAGCTGTGATTGTGTAGACAGACAGTATGTAGTTATAAGCAATCATAAGTGATGCAGTAAGAAAAGTTACAAATATGCCGCTATAAACAATCAAAACATTAGTTTATAAAAAGGGAAAATCTGTAATTTAATGAAGAAACGATAAACAGCATATATCAAGTCATTCATCTCATTACTCAGGCAGAGTGAATGGAAACCAACATTCACCACCACATGGCATCACCAACTGCTGAGTAGCCTGCTGTTCTCTGACAGTGATCTCAATGCTCTGAATACTCTCCACAAATTCCTTTATATTCTACCCATCATTTTCAACTAAAAGAACTCTAAAAATATATTGATTAAAAAAAAAAGCAAAGCAAAGCAAGGCATTGTATAGATTAAATCCAAGAATCCTCCAAACGTTGAAATCACAATTCAAGAGTTAAATGCTGAGTGGTATTGAGGAGGAGGAGGAGGAGGAGGAGGAGGAGGAGGAGGAGGGGGAGGAGGAGGAGAAGGAGAAGAAGGAGAAGAAGGAGAAGAAGGAGAAGAAGGAGAAGAAGGAGAAGAAGGAGGAGAAGAAGGAGAAGGAAAAGGAGAAGAAGGAGAAGGAAAAGGAGAAGAAGGAGAAGGAAAAGGAGAAGAAGGAGAGGGAGAAGAAGAAGAAGAAGGAGAGGGAGAAGAAGAAGAAGAAGAAGGAGAGGGAGAAGAAGAAGAAGAAGAAGAAGAAGAAGAAGAAGAAGAAGGAGGAGAAGGAGGAGAAGAGGGAGAAGGAGAAGAAGGAGAAGAAGGAGGAGAAGAAGGAGGAGAAGAAGGAGAAGGAGAGGGAGGAGAAGAAGAAGAAGAAGAAGAAGAAGAAGAAGAAGAAGAAGAAGGAGAAAGAGGAGGAGGAGGAGGAGGAGGAGAAGAGGGAGAGGGAGAAGGAGAAGGAGGAGAAGGAGGAGGAGGAGGAGGAGAAGGAGGAGGAGAAAGAGAAGAAGGAGAGAGAGAGGCAGCAGAAGAAGAAGAAGAAGAAGAAGAAGAAGAAGAAGAAGAAGAAGGAGGAGGAAAAAAAGAATGCTTCAATCTTACCTGCACCTCAGTGGCACTCGGCATGGTGGGAGTCAGGTTTCTCCAATCATGAGTAAAATGCTGGAGGGTCTACTATTCCCTCTGTAATGGAAAAGAAAATGTCAATAATTTCATGATTATGCATAAGCATACCTATACAGTCTAAAATATATAAAATCAAAATATCACCCAATTCTATTCTAAAAAACTTTCTTTTGTTTTTGTACTCTTTGTCTGGCTAAATTCATTGGATGCAAGACTCGAAACTTTTGTGCAGTTTAGCAAATTGGCTTAAAATGGACTGAGGCCACTATTTCTGCATTTCTTTATAAAGCAGTGAAATTACTATCTTAGTTCAAAGGACATCAACGAGGAAGTTCGTAACAGAATCACATCAGTGCAACATATGTCATAAAACTTCACCATAGTGCCATTAGGTATTGAGGCACATGCATTGGCAGTTCACAAAGTATGCGCAATGGGTGAATAAATAATACTGGGCAGGAATCAACTATTTTTCATTAATGACTCCCTAGTTTTGATAATTTGCGATAAATATGAAGATTAGATTCCTTCTAATCACACCGAAAGTAAATGTATTTCTGCTTGACAGTCATTTTGCAATGCTAGGAAAATTGGCCAAGATTAATTTAAGTATATATCTAAGTAATGACCACACTCATATAGGGTCAATCTATGGTCAATATTATAGAGGGAAAAGCTACATTCGATGCCTGAAGTAATCTGTGCAGGCAAAGAACAATCACAGAAAAAAAAGAAAAAGTTGCAGCAGTGACTAAGTTCTGGGGTTGAGCCAACTAGAGAAATGTGGGCAGAGGGGCAGAGCGCATGAGTCAATAAGGTATTTGGGTCATACAGTGATGTCTGGATCCCCAAGGTGGTCTTAATGGACAGAACAGCAGAAAATAGGACACTTTCCACCTGTGTTATTTCCTTGGTGAATTCATCAGAAAGCTGTCCAGCACACACTTCTATGGCACACATTTACATAATCGCAGCACGAAGATAGGGAAAATCCAACATGGAAAGGGACAAACTCTGCTCACTGACACACAAAATGATCTACACGGGCAAGGAACAGCACCAGAAATGAAGAAAATTTGTTGCAGCAAAAATCTGTGCGGAAAGCAAGTCCAGCGCAATTGGGGGGGGATGGGGGGGTGTCCGTGCCCAGAGCCTCGATAGGACAATACATCGATCAGTGAGTCAGGCGTGAAGTTCTGGGTTAAGAAGGCCTTCGTGGAGGTCGAGGAGAGGACAGAGCCTTAGGGTTTTGGTCTCCCAGGGTGCAGCTGCTCCATATGCAACTACTAATGCTTTCAACTCATGTCATTTGCGATGAAATACAACATATTACACATATTTACACCATGAATAATTGACACAAGGAATATTAATTACAAGGCTTGATGGCCGTGAAAATTATCCTATTTTATAAATTTCTGATGTTTGTCTCTACTGCTTATTAATTTACTGTCTCTCTTTGCGTATGAATCTTAATATACCAACTTATTCGGCACTCTCGTTTCCTTCATTCTTAAAGGAAGGACCCATTAACGGGTCATATTCTAAAGACAAAGACCTCAAAACACACAAACAAAACAACAAACTTCCTCTACGGTTGACACTCGCTCATCGCATCCTCCCCTTCACAACCTTCAAAATTCTCCTTTATCTCTACGACCACCGCCCTTAATTCACTCCCAAACACTTCGAAACATTCAACCAGCCTCGCAGATACAAGAAATGAACCCGAATAAAAAGCCTAAGAGCGGAAAAAAGGGCAAAATTCTCACACTTATTTTGAAGTTGGATTCTTCTGTTTACATTTGCGATCCGGGAATTTTTGGCGCGAAAATCTCCCCGAGGACTTGGGCGATGGTTCTTTTTCCTGCCTTTTTTTAAATCTAAAATTGTCTTCTTTCTGGTGTAGGTCGGCGGTATTAGGATTGAATTTAGGTAAAAGTTTGTGTCAGTGGGTTGGTTTTGAGGTTTACTGTGTCGATGGAGTTTTTATTTTATTTTATTTATTAATCCTGGGGAAATCGACAACTGTATGGCAACGATGTTTGGTCCCGATAGCTTGGAGTGGTATGTCATATGGGTAAATTGATGGTTAGTTGTAAAAAATTACTAATAAAAACGATAACTTAGGCAAAAAACTACTCAACTATGAAATCTAGAAACTCTTATCCCCGATAAGGCTTCTTAAATCGAGTTATATCGAGGTTCTCGGAGACGACGTAGCGGCAACCGTAGCAATTGTCAAGCGATTGCCGCGGCTTCCTTATTTATGGCTACCTGCCAGAGACAAAGTAGCTTCTAGTACTCTATATTCTTGTATTGATTCTATATTTAACAATAAATTGCTAAAAACAAATCTGCAACGTCCATCTTGCCAGAATATACGTGAAGAAGATTTACCCTTTTCTCTGGAGCATCGTGTTTCTTATGGTTGACACTACTGCTATTATCGTCGCATAACCATAGGCGTAGGAGCCAGGGGGGCTGGGGGGGCTGTAGCCCCCCCAGTCGGGTAAATGTTGGTTGAATTCGGGCAATTTTGGGCAATGGGCAGGGGCGTAGATAGGAAAATTCATATAGGGGGCGAGAAATGAAGATATCCCTACAAAAATTTGACACATTCTCATTTTTTATTATTTTGAAGATAACATAAGGCCACTAGAACTAAACGAAACAGGAAACCATCGTTATTTTTGCGACAAGTGCAGAAATTTTCCGACAAAATGGCAGTTTAGCCTTATAGGTGGGTTTTTCGCTCCCCCCCGACCCCCTCTATCTACGCCACTGGTGGCATTCATCACAAATTTTGCAGCCCCTCTAAATTTTAAATGCCCCTACGCCGATGCGCATAACCACTGATAAAAAAAAGACTGGATCGAGCAACTTAATGTCTTTGATTCGCCGATTTTGAAGCCCGCGATTTTCAACCGTATTGGAGGGCCCGGTATTGTAATAAGTGTGGGGGGGAAGTGGTATCATGTGTAATCGATGAGAAAGCAAGGCATAGAATGTGTTTCTTATGGTTGTAATTAGAGAAAACGAGACGTTAAAGAAGAAAACTACGTACGAAGTGATAGCGAGGGTAGTGAAGATGAAAAGTCCGTGAAAAAAAACATTACCAAAAACATTCCACAGTTGAGATAGGCCTACATATTGTCGCGTGATTTCACTACAATTGTATTGATCATCTATGATTTCTTGCATAATGTAGAGAACAAAATAAAGTGGTTTATTTTTTTGAGATCAGTGGTGATAAAGCATTGGTTGGGTGGGCAAAAGGGTATTTGACAAACATTGAAAAAAGGTTCTTTCTAGATCTAAGATTTTTGGCAGGTTATGTTTACACTTGCATCTTAGAAAAGATAAATTTTATACATTTTATTAACAACAGCTAGTTAGTTAGTATGGTTGCTTCTAGCAAAGGTGCTATTTGAAAAGGCCTTTGATAAAAATGTATGATTTAAGATGTTACTTATTTGGCCTTACTAAATAGAGTTCATTAGTAATTACGTCACATTCCCTAAACAAAATCTCATCTCCTTGGACACAGTAGAAATGGCCGAATTCACGGTAACTGCCCTTTTTTCTTTCTTTCAAAATCTATCAACAGAGGCGAAAATCATTACAAATCGGATCACATACAAGCATTTTCGTATGCTGATCGGGTTGTTCGAGGAGAAGTGCGAGCTTAAACTTAATAATAATGCACGTATTGTAGGCTATAGTGTATGTGTGTGTATATGTGTATGTGTGTATATATATATATATATATACATACACACACACACACACACACACATATATATATATATATATATTGCTGAATATAAAGTTTGACATATATCTATTTTTATAAAAAAAAAAAATCAATGTGCATACGGTGTAGCCGACTGTAAAGTTATGATTAACAACCGACGCAACTTATTATGAAATTTGATGCAATACCTGCTGTTAATTCATAACACATGCAAAGTAATCTTTAATACACTGATACAGTATATAATATCAAATTCGATATATGATTTATTGTATATCAGTCAGATTTATTATACAAGTAATATCAATGTCTTTAGAAATAATCAGTAAGTTTGAAGTTCATGAACAAATGGAATAGATATATCAAGGAGAAAATGGTTGTTTGAGTTTTTCAATTTGTATCGTATTTATTTATTCATTCTTTTAATTTCGGCTAATGGAATAGAAAAGACATTGTTCTTTTTATTTGCTAAATGTGTATCCATACCATAATATTATAGACATGCAATAAGGCAGACAGTTACAGGTCTTTGGGAGTAAAAAGAATATCTAACAATGGTCAAAATTTTGAGTAAAAAAATATGATGTTATCAAAAATCATAAAATTATATCGCTTTGATCATATATTTTCCTTATATAAATATAAATCTACTAAGAGCATTTTATTTTGTAATTTATATAACCTTTATGATATACCAAATTTAGAAATATAGCTTCTCTTAAAATGCTAGAAATCAAATAGATATAAAGCCAAACAAGCACTAAAAAGGCTTAAAAAACTTATTCTCCGGAGCTTTCGAAGGACTTTCCGCGCCGGAGTCGAGTGAAGTCTTCGAACTCGAGGTCGTCCTCCTCCGTCGGCGCCGAGGGGTCGGGGTGCATGAGCTTGAAGGGCAGGTCGCAGGATATCGCCCCCCCGATGGCACCGCAGTTGAGTCTCAGGCGGAAGGAGTAGGAGAGCAGGATGCCCAGGCAGTCGTTGGCGCTACTGTTGGCGTTGCAGAGGGTGGAGGAGCCGAGACTCGCGTCCTTGTCCTTGGCCTGGCCGTCGAGGGCGACCCCGAAGCGACTGGCGATGGTGTTGGCGATGACGGGTCTGAGGGCGATGGAGCGGGAGAGGGAGGCGCCGGGGATGATGGGGCAGCCGTCGCGCGACTCCAGGGAGGCCACCGCGCGCGTGTAGTACATGTTGGTCATGGTGATGTCCACGTGCTGGATGACCTCGGCGGCGATGGACTTCACGGTCTTCTTCGAGTTGTTGCTGATGGTGATGTGGGCCTCGATCTCCTCCCCGTGGAAGTAGATGTCGCGGCCGAGGCTGACGTCGAGGATGAGGCTGCCCGGGGAGAGGGAGTAGTTCCTGCGGACGAGGAGCTGGGGCTGGCGGTGGTCAGGGTTGATCGGGGCGTACTGCACCTTGCGCACGGAGAAGGTGACGGTGTCCTGCGGCTTCGGGGACTCCTCCTTGGCCCCGGCCACGTAGAAGCTCAGTTCGTATGAAACGCCCAGCATCTTACTCTGTCGGCGGAGAAGCTTGAAGATTACTACACACTTATAAGAATACATAAAACTGATCTAACGTTGATGGCTTTCGTAACCTGACGGTCAGCAAAATACCTCATACAGTTCAAGTTTCTGTCAACACTGTGATCAGGAGAAACGAAACAACAACAACAAAACTTAAGACAAACATGGACTTCATCACAACCACTAAAGAACAAAAACCACCGACACTTTCCACCTGCGACATTTCCTTGGCAAGTCGATCATCAGAAAGCTGTCCAACACGCACTTCTATGGCACACATTTACATAATCGCAGCACGAAGATAGGGAAAATCCAACATGGAAAGGGACAAACTCCGCTCACTGACACACAAAATGATCTACACGGGCAAGGAACAGCACCAGAAATGAAGAAAATTTGTTGCAGCACAAATCTGCGCGGAAAGCAAGTCCAGCGCAATTGGGGGGGAGGGGGAGTCCATGCCCGGAACCTCAGAAGGACAATACACCGATCAGTGAGTCTGCAGTAGCGTAGCGAGGGGGGGAGGGCAAGGGGGGGCAGCCGCCCCCCCAATGCTCAGAAAGTTGGTCTCTGAGAAAAGTGCAAATCTGCAATAAAATTTGTAGGGGGGTACGACAAAAAAACAAGACTTCATTTGCCAAAAATTGATAACATACAATGAAACAACAGAAAAAGATTTTTTTTTTTTGACGTTTGATTAACCAAACTTTGACATGTACAAATGGCATAGCTCATTATAAGCCATCTAAAAAGAGCCGTTTTCCAGCATTCTAAGGGGCGTGGTCTTAAATTTTCCCGGGGGAAGATTCCCGGACCCCCTGCTATTTTTCTTACCTGTTTGCCCCCCCAATCTTCCCGCTCTGGCTACGCCACTGTGAGTCTGGCGCGAAGTTCTGGGTTAAGAAGGCCTTCGTGGAGGTCGAGGAGAGGACAGAGCCTTAGGGTTTTGGTCTCCCAGGGTGCAGCTGCTCCATATGCAACTACTAATGCTTTCACTCAGGTCATTTGCGATGAAAAACAACATATTACTTATTTTACACCATGAATAATTGACTCAAGAAATAATAATGACGAAGTTGGATGGCCGCGATACTGAAAATTATCCTTTTTTTTCGTTTCTGATTATTTTTATGTCTACTGCTTACTATTTTTCTGTGTCTCTCTGTGCGTATGAATCTTAATCTACCAACTAATTCGGCACTCTCGTTTCCTTCATTCTTAAAGGAAGGACCCATTACCAGGTCATATTCTAAAGACAAAGAACTCAAAACACACAAACAAAACAACAAACTTTCTCTACGGTTGACACTCGCTTATCGCATCCTCCCCTTCACAACCTTCAAAATTCTCCTTTATCTCTACGACCACCGCCCTTAATTCACTCCCAGACACTTCGAAAGATCCAACCAGCCTCGCAGATACAAGAAATGAACCCGAATAAAAAGCCTAAGAGCGGAAAAAAGGCCAAAATTCTCACACTTATTTTGAAGTTAGATTCTTCTGTTTACATTTGCGATCCGGGAATTTTTGGCGCGAAAATCTCCCCGAGGACTTGGGCGATGGTTCTTTTTCCTGCCTTCTCTTTAAATCTAAAATAGTCTTCTTTCTGGTGTAGGTCAGCGGTATTAGGATTGAATTTAGGTAAAAGTTTGGGTCAACGGGTTGGTTTTGAGGTTTACTGTGTCGATGGAGGATTTTTTTAAATTTATTTATTAATCCTAGGGAAAATAAACTACTGTAAGGCAACGATGTTTGGTCCCGATAGCTTGGAGTGGTATGGCATATGGGTAAATTGACTGTTAGTTGTAAAAATATACTAATCAAAACGATAACTTAGGCAAAAAATTACTCAACTATGAAATTTAGAAACTCTTATCCCCGATATGGCTCCTTAAATCAAGTTATATCGAGGTTCTCGGAGGCGACGTAGCGGCAACCGTAGCAATTGTCAAGATATTGCCGCGGCTTCCATATTTATGGCTACCTGGCAAAGACAAACTCGCCTCTTGTACTCTATTTTCTTGTATTGGTTCTTTACTTAACAATAAATTGCTAGAGAAATCTGCAATGTACATCTTGCCAGAATATATGTGAGGAAGATTTACTCTTTTCTCTGGAGCGTCGTCAGGCTCGAAAGCCCGACCAACGTTGACGCTACTGCTATTATCGCCGCATAACCGGTTCCAAGAGGCTAAATTAAACAATAATACACGTATTGTAGGCTGTAGTGTGTGTGTGTGTAAATATATATATATATCAATGTCTTTAGAAATAATCAATAAGTTTGAAGTTCATGAACAAATGGAATATACCAAGGAGAAAATGGTTGTTTGATTTTTTCAATTTGTATCGTATTTATTTATTCATTCTTTTAATTTCGGCTAATGGAATAGAAAAGACATTGTTCTTTTTATTTGCTAAATGTGTATCCATACCATAATATTATAGACATGCAATAAGGCAGACAATTACAGGTCTTTGGGAGTAAAAAGAATATCTAACAATGGTCAAAATTTAGAGTAAAAAAATATGATGTTATCAAAAATCATAAAATTATATCGCTTTGATCATATATTTTCGTTATATAAATATAAATCTACTAAAAGCATTTCATTTTGTAATTTATATAACCTTTATGATATACCAAATTTAGAAATATAGCTTCTCTTAAAATGCTAGAAATCAAATAGATATAAAGCCAAACAAGCACTAAAAAGGCTTAAAAAACTTATTCTCCGGAGCTTTCGAAGGACTTTCCGCGCCGGAGTCGAGTGAAGTCTTCGAACTCGAGGTCGTCCTCCTCCGTCGGCGCCGAGGGGTCGGGGTGCATCAGCTTGAAGGGCAGGTCGCAGGATATCGCCCCCCCGATGGCACCGCAGTTGAGTCTCAGGCGGAAGGAGTAGGAGAGCAGGATGCCCAGGCAGTCGTTGGCGCTACTGTTGGCGTTGCAGAGGGTGGAGGAGCCGAGACTCGCGTCCTTGTCCTTGGCCTGGCCGTCGAGGGCGACCCCGAAGCGACTGGCGATGGTGTTGGCGATGACGGGTCTGAGGGCGATGGAGCGGGAGAGGGAGGCGCCGGGGATGATGGGGCAGCCGTCGCGCGACTCCAGGGAGGCCACCGCGCGCGTGTAGTACATGTTGGTCATGGTGATGTCCACGTGCTGGATGACCTCGGCGGCGATGGACTTCACGCTCTTCTTCGAGTTGTTGCTGATGGTGATGTGGGCCTCGATCTCCTCCCCGTGGAAGTAGATGTCGCGGCCGAGGCTGACGTCGAGGATGAGGCTGCCCGGGGAGAGGGAGTAGTTCCTGCGGACGAGGAGCTGGGGCTGGCGGTGGTCAGGGTTGATCGGGGCGTACTGCACCTTGCGCACGGAGAAGGTGACGGTGTCCTGCGGCTTCGGGGACTCCTCCTTGGCCCCGGCCACGTAGAAGCTCAGTTCGTATGAAACGCCCAGCATCTTACTCTGTCGGCGGAGAAGCTTGAAGATTACTACACACTTATAAGAATACATAAAACTGACCTAACGTTGATGGCTTTCGTAACCTGACGGTCAGCAAAATGAATTCAATTACAAATAAATGATGCAACAGCAGACGTTCCACGATACCTCATACAGTTCAAGTTTCTGTCAACATTGTGATCAGGAGAAACGAAACAACAACAACAACAAAACTTAAGACAAACATGAACTTCATCACAACCACTAAAGAACAAAAACCACTGACTAGACAGCCAGACAGACAGATTCCTCACCGATTCATCGCTGCCGGGGTCGAGCGTGACTGAGCAGGGCGCCGGGTCGGGCAGGGCGACGCGGAAGGGAGTCGCGTTACCTCCTATCTTCTTGACGATCTTCTCCTGCAGGTCGGTGAGTCCCTTCTCGCCGTCGAGAGGGACGACCTCGGCGTGGACAAGTTCGAACTCCTTGCTGAACTTGAGTCCCATGACCTCGTCCTCCTCCCTGCCATAGCGGTACGTGAGCACCACCCTCGTGAAGACCTTACGATCCTGCAGGAAGTCGCCGTCCACCACGACCACGCCATCGACGGGATCGGTGTGCGTCCGGCGGTCCGAGAAGTCGCGCTGGCTCAGGTAGGCCGTGATCTTCTCTGCGGGAGAAAATGCGGCGTTAGTGTCGAGGGAAGGGCGGGTGATGATGACGAGACAGTAATGATAATGATGATAATAATAATAACAATATTGACAGTAAAGACAACAATAGCGTTACATGCGATTTTTAGTTTCGATTTTCAATGTAACGGCAGAGAGAGAGAGAGAGAGAGAGAGAGAGAGAGAGAGAGAGAGAGAGAGAGAGAGAGAGAGAGAGACTAATAATGACAGATATAGAAAAAAAACATTACGCAAATGACTTTCGGTAGTATCATGAAACACTTTTAAACATATAATTATAATAATAATAATATTGATAATAATAATGATAATAATAATAATAACAATAATAATAATAATGATAGCAGTAGTAGTAGCAGCAACAGCAAGCATTAATAGGAAACAATATATATCCCTGAATTACATTAATAATAACTATTATCCCCTTCTATTCTTTCCTAATTCATCTAAAACAAACAACGCTAATGGCAGTGCAAACAAATCGCCCGCCGTGACTAAACAACAAATACCAATCACACGCACGGAGAACAACAACAACAAAAAACAGCCATTCTAACAACAGCAACAACAACAACAAAATTAATTCACCATTTGGAGATTTTTTCTTGAAGACCTTGATCGCGTTCACCATTGAGTCTTGTTATTACCACCGTCTTATTTATGATTATCAGCTATCACAGATTCGCCTTCTGTTGCAGAGGGAGGGCGAGCAGGAACTACAAACTGATGCCTCGCGAATAGCACGGCGAGAGAGACACCGCTTCATCCTATTAAGAAGGAAACCTGTAATCTGCGTCGCCATTTTTGATTTTGGTCCCTTGTTTGGCGCGCGAATTTCTTGCTCGTTGGT